GCGGCGAGGAACCTTAAGAAAAATGGTGTTTGCCTTCATATTCGACCTCCATTTAACTCACTACCAACGCCTCGACCTGCTTGGGATTCTTAGTTTCTATAAGTGCCTTTCTCGATTGCTAGGGCGGATGTATAGAGAGGGAGCTGAAGCCTTAAGCGGCTTTGCAGCTTATTAAAATTATGATAGAATTGTAAATCATTTCTCAAAATTTTAAGTGAATCTTTATGCCTAATAATGATAATGCGATAACTCTAGCTTACTGCCGTACCTTTTGAGATTTTTCGATAAACCTTTTCCCGAGATTTCAAGTCAAATCTTCTTGAAGATAAATTGAAACGTATTCTATTGGGTTAATGCTCTGATCAGCGCTATTAGGGTAATGTTAGTAAAGAAAAAAAGAGGTGAGAGTCTTTTAAGATATTGTTTGGATGCAATTTTGTCGAAGGTTCCCAGTGAAATTGACAGTGCTGTGGCTGGCTTAGTGGTTGCCCATTCGTTGGAAAATAATTATATGTACCGAATGGTACACATAACTCATATGGCAGGAAATTATTATGGAATCAGAAACGGGGTCGAGCGGGTGCGTGTCGAAGGGAACCGGATCGGTTTCCTCTCCTTCTCACACCCTTCGTTCCTTTGCCCTCCTTCTTGTCCCTCATGCTTGTTGATTGGGCATGTGTCCCCCTCCTGTGCTCTCATTGTTTCTTCAATACACGCGCTCTCTGATTTTTTGTTGCCACTATTAGAGCCAACCCTCGTGCCACTTACTCCGTTTCCTCATTTATTATTTTTTTCTGATTTCTCCTTGGGTTGTTGCTCTCTCCCCCTGTTCCCTTTATTTGATTGTCCCTTGTTCCCTTTGAATTTTTATTGGTCCAATATTTGGGATCGTGTTCAAAATTAAAAATAAACAAGACTCAACCCAAGTTTTTCAAATGTCCGTCCGTAGAGAAAAAAAAACGTTGCATGTTAGAATATACTAATAGCCTTGTTACATTTAATCCTGAGACTTTCGCAGAGACAGCTTTCGGCCTATGGGTTGTTTGTCAACCAACGAGAGGTACCTATAGCGAATGTGAGTAATTATGTCGTGACCAAAAAATATACTAAGTCACTATTGTTCCTCTCATAAAACCAGATGGTACAAACGAAAGTCCAGACGACTTAGCCTCGTGTTATGAGAGCGTTTTCGTGAAATTCACATATTTTTTTAAAAGTTAATATTTGCGGGTATAAGAAACTCAGTGAACTGGATTGTCTTGAGTCACACCCACCCGCGTGCTGCTGTCCCCGCATTAGATGCCTTCAAATAATATAATTGTGTTGTTAAAAAACATTTATAGCTTCATATTGAACAACTTATTTATTTACATTTAATTTATTTCGGATATTTGCGTATTAAAGATACTCTATTATTAAAACTATAATTTGGCATTTATCTGTTTCTATTTAATGATGTTCTTGAACGTTCATATTGACAAATTACATAGAAAATTGAAATCTACATTATTGTGGTAACAGTCTATGATATGATGTTTATTTTAATTCATTAATTTCGTTTGGTTTACTATTATTAATTTATATTAAGGTTTAAATAAATATACAAAAATAATTAACTTAATCTAAAAATATAGTATCTATATTTAAAATAACAACACAATGACTCTCATGTCACTTATTTTTGTAATGCTAATATTAATTATAAAATTGTGGGAGTGCAATATTTCTAGATGTGTTATTTTTAGGAGTAGACATTTTATATTATCTGCTCCAAATTTTTGTTGTTGTGGAAAGGCTGTGACCTTGCGAAATCCGTTTAGTACTACAACACCTTGTGATTCGGTTGACCTGAACCAAAAAGACAATATAATATCCAGCCGAAGTATTGTTTGTATATACTCCTCTTAGTTTATAGCAATACCCTAAACCTTCAAGTCCAGCACTAATTAGTGATATGGGAGAAAATGATCCCAGCCAACATACTATCCTAGGTTGAATGATGAGCCAAAAATCCTGTACCTTAATCATCCATAGCTACCATCACAGATTATCTTCCTCTTGCAAGCTTGCATGTCTCTCTGCATCAAACACATACAATTATGTGCATGTTTCCAGTTACTTAATAAAAAAAATAGACATAATTATTTACAATTAGTGATACGTATATGTTATAACAAATTTTTCCAATGGACATTGAACAAAAAAGAAGAGATGCATTCTTATTTAAACCACTAGATTAAAACTGTCAAAGTTCGGCTATGCAAATCCAACCGTCTAATTTTCGACATCTAGTGCCGGATAAGAAGTTGTGGCTATTCTGCAATGCTACGTGTCCAGCAGAAACCATATTCAAATTAACCAAAGGGGACCCGTGGGACGTGAACTATGACAAAAGAGACTAAAAGAAAGTGAAGACAATGTAGATTTATAGACACAGATATATAGGGGTGCAAGTCCATTTTGGGAGAAGGGCTCACATGTCACATTTATGCTGTTACTTGGTGTTTTATGCCAATAAAATAAGAACCGGAGTTAGTTTATGTCTATAAAACTGTATAATTGATGTCATGTTGGTGGTTTCTTCATGCCATATAAATTTGCTATCCGAATTAAAGTGGAATGGCAGTGCAAAGCTAGCTTCACCTTTACCAAAAAAACAAAGCTAGCTTCACTAAGCAACAAATTTGGTGAGCCTGACGTGAAATAGTTATATTTTTATTAGAAATGGGGCATATTTATTATTGGGAAAATATCAATGATATAATTGTATGCACCAGAAGCTAGGAGGATCCAGGATTTGGGAATTCTTCAATCATATCCGTTTATTGTGCGGTCAGAAATTATTGTAAATTTTTTATTTAAAATTGAATATAAATAGTATCTGACAAAAACTGACCGCACGATGTACAATAAATGAATGTAATTGGAGGATCCTTGAATTCTCATTAAAAGTATTTGGCGAGGATCCTCTCTCCACCAGTAGGAAGTGTCCCGTATTATTTAGGTCAAGAGTTTGATTGAAAAGGAAAGTGGGATTTGGTGATAAACAGTATAGGTAGTTGAGGGGACTTTTCCTAAAGAAAAGGTGGCTTGGATCATATAGCTTTGTGGCTTCTTTAATTGACAAAACTTGTCACTTGTAAGGAGGGTCTTGTCTGTGTGCTATATAGAGGACCAATACTAGACTCTTTGGCTCTGTTTTTGAATAATTGTCTTCATCTTAAGCAGCCAGATATTCTTGTTGTTTCAAAAATAAATATTTATAGTGCAATCTTGTTCATAGCAGCTTAATTGTAATTAAGAATATTTGTTCATGTATTCGAAAACTTCTTGTTCTTTCAAATTTGCATTTAAATGTAAGAAGAGGAGATAACATTACATATAATTTTGAAATTTTAGAGTTTTTTGCATCTCTCTATTCATTCCAACTTCTATCCAATCTTTTTGGAAATGTTCGAATTCGAAAGGAAATTTTGATGGCGGAATTTGAAATTCTATTTCAATTTAAACCATAGCGCACACGTGCAAATATGTTCCAATTTAAGGGGTTCTATTTGCGAGATGTAAGAGGGTAGTCAATTGACAATACATAACAAGGGTATGGATCTTTAAGTTTTTCAAACATAAGGCGTAGGTCAATTTTTTCAATCTATTCTCTCCATGGTGAGAACCTTTCACTCCAAGTTGAGAGTTTTCCTCACTGTTTGTGTGAAGCTTTCAAACTCAAGAAAATCTGGTGGCATCGACCCTAGCTTCGGCCGAGGTTGGTTGCCGTTTCCTCCTCGCTTTCCTCACTGTTTGAGAGTTTTCCTTGCCTCTATTGTTTTTTCTCCCAGATTTTTACTCTGATCTGTTTTGTTCCTTTATCCCCAAGGATATACCTCTTCTTGATTCCAATCTTCAGCCATGCATCCCACTAAGATCGTGCGCAAAGTTTCGGTGTATCCACCGGCTCGAGTGTTTCCAACACCACCACTTTCTCTTTGTTGTTTGCCAGTACCGGTAGTGTCATTAGTGGGTTTCCACGAGCTTTATATTGGTAGTTGGCTTCTCTCACTTAGTTGCCAGCTATGCCTAGTTTATGGTTGTGCTCAAGTAGCAAATCGGGGTTGGATGGGGCGTCTAATGAGGCGAGACTCGGCGGTGGACAAGGAATCAGATGGATTGCTTGGAATTGTGACATTGGAGAAAGTTGTAGAAGCTTCTGGTCGTGGATACTTTGTGTTAATTTAGGGCCTAACTGTTTTTGGGCTCTTTTTGTGTTTTTCTTTTGTTTTTGGCCCTTGATTTGCTTTTATGTTGTTTTGTTGTTTAATAAAAATAACCTTTTACCAAACAAATAGAAGGCGTAGGTCAAGCCTAATCGAACAATAGTGATTCCAGTTAAAAGAAAGTTTTCGGTAGAGTTGCCTCATGCCACAACTCACTCACACATTGTGAGACTCTTACATGCGGATCTCATTCGGTCTCAGTCTCACCCTATTATGGTGTGCTGCAACATAAGGCAAACTCAAACCAATCTCTCCCCATTAAGACACTGGACCAAAAATTAAACCCATCGCAATGTTATAAAATTTGAGCCTATCCAACCCAATGAAAAAATTGGAGTATGTTTTTGGCAAATTCATTTCTGACTCAAAGACATAAAGCCTACAAAAACCCTAAAATAGAGTGGAAGGTCAAAGAGTGCAACAATATTGATAGAGGAAAAGAAAGAAGAATTTGAATTGTTGTTTCGGTAATACTCCACAGATACATATTTCTTTTGGTAAATTTCTACTCACTTGAATTTTTATCCTTAACCTCATCAAACACTTTGATATTTTTCTAGATTATCAGGATGAATTGCTTTATAGGATTTTTCAGTCTGTGTCTGTTAGGTGGATAGCGATTTTGACACTCATCGATCTTTTAGTCGTTTGCACTCATAGGAGGAATGAGGGAGGCTACAGAACGAGGGTTTGATAGTTTGAAATGAAATTATAAAATAGTAAGCAATATTCAAGAACTAGAATTTTCGCTGCTTTATCATTCCAAATCAGAAGTCAAAACCACAAATATCACAGTGGGATCAGATTACTTGGGCAATTATAATTTTCTAAGTACAATCCCAAAAGTGATGGGCTTAATCTCTTCTTTAGCCGCTTCTTCATCCACCAATCTCCTAAAATTTTCAAATATACTGTCCAAGATTCCTTCTCCAAAATGCTGCCCAATCATTGATTCTTGAATAGCCCTCACAGTCATTGCAATACTAGTTCCATAGCTCTCATCGTTCTTGCCATGCCTCTGATCCAGCCAAAACATCTCAAACCTGTCCAATGCAAAAGAACCCTCCTTCCTCACTTCATGTTCTATTTCATCTCTCGATGGAGCATAGAAATGCACATCATATGAGTCAAGCTTTTCCTCCTCAACTTCACCCTAACACAATCAAAACAAAATTATTCTCAACCGGCTAAACGCATTCATGTAACTCTAAACATGTGCCCATATATGTTCGATTCTCCCTCCTATAGTATCACTTATAGTGTCTTAATTTAGGCAAAATCAACTGTGACAACATCCTTGCGGCACGTCCACCTCATAGTTCCCTCCACTACCTTCCTAATTTCATTTTAAATACCGCGTGGTGTCTATCCCAGTATTGATTTTTTATATTATCTCTTTTTCAATTTTTGAACGGGTGCCACTGTGATTCTGTCTTGGATATAAAGACATACATTTGATAAGAAATTTTGGAGTTTCTTGGTGTGCATAATAAATTAGTACCTCGGAAACCAAAATGGCAATGGACTGAGAAAGAAGCTGCCAGAGGAAACAATTGCCTCTATCAACGTGATCTGGGCCACTCCTTCCCAACAAGATCAGCACCATTCTTCCTCCTGCAACCAGCTCCTCGGACCTTGACTTAAGGAACAAAGTGAAGTCCTCTTGAAATTGCTTCAGGTAAGCTTGAGAAACTCCAACAGGGCTTGATTCAGAAATGTAAACACTTCCTTTGTTTGTGGACTTCCCCTCTTTGCAGTAAATTTTTGGAGGAACCTGCATGACATTATAGTCAAATAGATATGACCACTATGTTTTAGGGCAGTTATTTTTAGTCTCCTGTTTTCTCTTTCTGCACTCATCCTCTGGTTGCTATCCCAGGCTAGAACCTCTTTTACCAAAAAAAAAAAAAGAGGCTAGAACCTCTGGTTTCTATCCCTTCAAAGGCTAGAAAAGAAAGAGAGGAGTGCCGGGAGAGATAAAAGAGTGAAAATCACTTCCCAAGCAAAGTAGATTTGAAATAATAAATGAATCTAATTAAAGAATATCAGATTCTTACCCTAGATAGCCAGTGCAAACTGTAGGATGAGTAGACAAAGTGCAATGTATTGTTGGGAAAAAGTCTTCCATAAAATGAGCCAGGATAGGCTCCTATATAAATAGAGGGAGATTTCCCATTGCTTCTTTCGTCGCTGAGGTCTTTGGAGAAGTCTGGCAAGGCCTTGAAGATTGAGTTGAAGTCATTGGAGGGAAGATCATTGAGGTGAACTCTGAACTCTGGTGATGGTTGAAATGTTTTTATACTGAAGCCTTCAACTGCTTCAATGATTTCTTTGATGATTGATAAGGTGTTGGGTCCAGATGAACAGCCCAAATCAGCTATGCCTAAGCTCTTTGGAGTTGTGGTGAGGTAAAGTTCTTGTATTGCCTCTAAAGTTATGTTCTTTACCATATCAGATGCCTTCTTCTGTCAATCCAGAATTAGAAAGAAAAAACATATAATTAGGAAATAAACATTCTGAACACACACACACGCGCACACACATACAGATTGGGAGAGAACCTGGAGTGAAGAATTTCTGGCATAGCTAGTACGGCCAACTCCTCCAGTCATGTGGAAGACATTCTCTACACCCATGCTAGCTTGTTGCAGCTGGCTCTCTGCTGCCTTTGAACTTGGTGGACCTTGCTTCTTATACTTTAAAGGCAAATTCACATGATGCATATCTTTTCCCTTTTGGGGCAACTATCTTTATATATCTAAATATATATATATATATATGTATATATATCTTTTTCATGGCAGTTCAGATGGCATAAAGGTATAAATAATTCAAGTGTCATGATTATGGGTACATTTATGAATTGAAAACATCTGGTGCTTATGAGAAGCGTGATGACTTAGGCATTATCTTCAGTGGTAGGGTAGATTATTTTGGTGCAAAATCCATCTTAAATGTATCAGATGCCATGGTTATGGATACAATTGTTGTTTGACAATAGTTGATGCTTATGTGCAGCGTGATGATCGCGACACTCACTTGGAGATATATTTTTGGTGCAAGACAGATTATTTCGGTCCTAAACACATCTTAAAATGTACCAAGTGTCATGATTTTGGGTACAATGGTGCTATGAGAATTGTGATGACTAAGGCACTATCTTCATTGGTAGGATAAAATATTTGAATCCATGTTGAAATATATCTACATGTCATGATTTTGGGTACAATTGTGGAAATAGCTGGTGCTATGAGAATTGTGATGACTAAGGCACTATCTTCAGTGGTAGGATAAATTATTTGAATCTAGGTTGAAATATATCTACATGTCATGATTTAAAATGTCATGATTTTGGATACAGTTATGGCTTGACAATAGCTAGTACTAAAGAAAAACGTAATAAAATAAACAAGTCCATAGAAATATATCATCGAAGATGGAGTAGAATCTCTCAGTGCTAAACCATCTTAATCATGGTCTCATAGCCAAGTTGCCTAAGCATGACCCTTGCAAAACAAGCACTAATTATGCTTAAGATAGTATTAGAGACTTGTCTCATAATTCTGATTTGGCTTATATTTGTCACTTTCGCTTTTCAGTTAAGCTGCTGAAATGAAAAGTTGGTTTGTTGGCCAATGGCTAATTAGTTGTTTTCGTGTGAACCGGTCATTGATGGAGATGGTTCGTACTTTAAGTGCACGATGATTAGGCTCTCAGAAGGTTGAGGTAGGTATGCTGCGCTATAGTTGGCCTTGGTCCCAAACTTTCCCAAGTTGTCTGGGCTGAACCAGCTTTTTTGGAAACTTGCAAAAATCACTGTAACTGTTAGCATGCATGGTTCTGAGATACTTGTTGTCAATGTCTTGTCACAAACAGCAAGCTTTGCTGGGACACATGTCGGCTGAGGGGGCAGTAACTGGTGCTATGAAATGGGTATTTGAGTTGTTGCAGCAGATTTGAACATATCGTGAATCATATATGATAGAGAATGACAGGTTGAATAGTATATGTGGATACTACAAAACTATGAATAAATAGAGGCTAATACATTTGTACCTATTAATTAGAAATAGGGACAAAATTTGAGAATTTTTGCATCTAATAGTTAGAAATGATGAATATTAAAATTGCACTTAAAAAGAACTTTGCTATTAATAAATAGGGGCAAATAAACATTTATTTTCGCCCCTAATAGTTTTATTGCCACATAGGCAAGTCTAACGTGCAAACAATATTAAGTGCTGATGCTTAAAGTATTAGAGGCGATTATTAGGGCCCCTACATTATTATTTATTTAATGCATTTATATATATTATTATTTCATTTTGGGAATTATATTAATTAAAAATGTTTTTCAATCTCCCATTAATTATTTGATTGTATTCTCATAGTTTGATGGTCAAATATGTTTACGATTATATTTATTTTCCACCACCATCCAAGACGAAAAAATAAACTGTCAATAAAAAATTAATATTAAAATGATTCATACTTCATTGATTTAATACAAATGGTACAAGTATCATGAAGAAGTTTAAGCCTATTAGAAATGGTAGTCTAAACAAAATTTATATGTCTAATCAATCTTCTGCATTCCAAACACCGAAATGATGCAATGTTAAAAGCTTGTGGCTCCCTTAATCCATCCTGTAGATACACCATAGAAGGTAAAAGCAAATTAGAGTAAAACTACTTTTAGAAAAAATAAGAAACAAAACAAGTAAATTATGTATAACTCACAACCCAGAAAAGAAATGAACAAATTAAATCAATCAAATTATGTACCTACCTTTCTCAAAACATCGAGAAAACAAAACCTACAAAACAAACAAAAAATAAAACCTAAATTAAGCCAATAGGGGTTTATGATGTAATTCATCATTTTGATAACACTCCTAATATTATACAAAAATAAAATGAAAAAAATATGTATGAAGAACACACCTAACAAATTTCACTTCAAATTTTTCACACCCCACAGTCAAATTTACCTGCAAAACAACAATTTGAGAGAGAAAAAAAACTTCAATCAAACTAAATAAATTTAGTTTTTTTCTCTACTACAAACCTTTTTAAATCTCTCTTTCACTATATTAGACTCATCAAAGGGAATTTTAAAGGTAGAAAATTAAGAAAAAATAGAGATCAAGAGAAAACAATATTAGATCTGAAACAAAAAGTGAAGAAGGAGGATAAAAATATGAAGGAACAAGAAAAATGGAGATGAGAAGAAGAATATGAAGGAACAAGAAAAATGGAATGAGGTATGAATCTACAAGAAAATGGAGATGAGAAGAAGAATATAAAGGAACAAAAAAAAATGGAGATGAGGAGTTTGTGACACACCCCGACCGGAATCGAGACATGCTGGCTGTCACATGAGGATGACGAAGCCATGAGCGAAGAGTGGAAAAGATAGTAATATAAAAATGCGAGTAATTAAAAACCAAAACTAACTAATTTATACTAGACAAGTATATAAGTGCTAGTGAAGGTACTTAAAGTGTGGTTACATATATTTAGAGCACAAGTAACCTAGATGTAGTCCAACCAGCTAGGTAAGAATTATACAAGGCACGAAAGAAATCCCTACATTATTTGAAGTCTGTCAGAATCGCCGTAGGGTCCTCGTAAACCACTAACACGAACTTCTAACTAGAACCTGGAGGGGCACAAAACAGAAAACGTGAGTGGGCAAAAACAAAGCTTTTCAAAACCATTTCTCTTTCCAAAAGTAATAACCCCTCACAGTAAAACCCATATAATTTTCTAGAAAATAGTAATACATACGTATGTAGAAATCATGCTCGAGAGTAATGAAAACCGAGTATATGCCATGTCAAGTATCTCAACAATAAAATAAGTAAGCCAAGTGAAACAAATCAATATAAATGATATGTTAGCCGAAGTCACCTAACGTGACCTGTACGGCAAAACCTATAGCTCATCAAATATGCCTGCACATGAGTTGGAACCACCTATTATGTCTGTACGACAGGGTTGAGTGTAAATAAGTACGCTCAAGCGCTACAATCACATGAAGGTTGTGCGATAAATCGCAAGCCACCTACGAGTCGGAACCACCTATTGTGGTTTGTACGACAGGGCTGTGCACCAAACTTGGATCCAAGGTGAGCTTGCGGTGCGGGAGGTGAATATCACGTGAATGACTGTGCCCTGGCTATGGGCGGAAGCACTAACACCGAGGTGCAGGATAATGAACTCTAAATGCATCTACGTATAATCACAAACAATGCATCCATTATCATCAATATATACTCACTTGAAGCTTACCTGGGCGTCCGCAGCATCAAGCAACAATATGCATATCTATACTAATGCATACTTTAAAGCATAATGCAATTGACATGCCATTTAAAACGTAAATCATTTTAAACAATTTCTGGGAAAATGTAAAGTATATATGCGTATATAGAAAACCAAAAACCCATTCACTGGTATGTAGCAGAGTCGTAACCCCTGAGTCTCGCCTAGCTACGCTCGTCCTCTGGAAACGTCTCACTATATGCAAAATAACTAAATTAACGTTAATTCGAAAGTACATAACCAAAACCGTGTAATAACTTCTCATATGTTGCTCAATTTGGGTGTTTGAACATACCATCATGGCCTACTCAACACCACAAACATCCCCATATTTTTAGAAAAAATTTTCGATGACTCATGTGTCAGCCAAGGCACGGCCACACGCGCCGGCCTCGTGCAGGCATGTGCCTGGCACATCGACAAAATCCCTAACGGCGTTAGGGAATATTCTGTTAAATAGAAGCATATAACGTTATATTTACCTGACGCCGTTAGTATATTCTATCAAAGTTGATGGAATATTCTTTTTTCTTCTCCAGTGGTTCGCCAGAGTCCGACACCGATGCCTCTGCGTCGCTAGTTTCTGGAAAAATCTAAAACTTCAATATCTCTCTCATTTCTCAACCAAAATTCACGAATTTCATATGGATTTGAAGCTCTTGAAGTATAGAACACAACCATACCTATTTGAAGTCCTAAAACCGACAAAAAGTGGTCGGAAAAATCTTTAAAACCTCCGGCTAAACCTGTAACTCAGTGAATCCTTTTATCCCGACGTTCTGTCTACTTCAAAACTAACCTAGGGTCCCTTTAGAGTTGATTAGGACCCCTTTAGAACCTTAAAACCTTGTAGAACTTCGGTGATCATGTCGGAGTTAACTTCCACCTAGCCGGAGCTCATGTGTTCTCATGTTTTTTAAGTCCTTTCTTCGAACCAACAGTACCATCAGACTTGTGAAGTCAAAAGGATGGTGATGATAACCTCAGTGGGTTCGATCCGTGACGTTTTGATGGTGTTTGAAGGTTGGAAGGCTTGGGTTGTACGGACGATAGAAAATTCGAGAGAAATGGTGAGGGTGAGAGTTACATACGTGTGTGTAGGTGTGTCTGTGTGGGTTACGGGATTGGGCAACATAAAAGGATCATAAGCCCTAATTGGGCTATGTGATTTAGGGCCTAACAATTGGTCCAAAAGAAATAAAACAAGCCTAAAAATTCTATTTGGTCCAAAGTTGTAGGAAAAGAAGATAATTGGTGGATAGGTTATGGACAACCCAAAATATAACTCTACCTAATTACACCTATTTGTTCGTAACTTCCTCATCACAACTCCAGTTTGAGCCTAACTCGCGTCAACGTTCTCATGACGTCACGTATAATTAAATCACGTCAACTGGAAAAATAATTAAAA